TTTGAAAAAATAGCATTTTATAAAGATTTCAAAAGTTTGGCATTTTTGGAAAGTGACACTTGGCATTTTTTTAAATTTCTCATTTTAGTAATATCTTTTAGTACTTTTGGATTTATTTGCATTTAAAGAGGCATCTTTTAATTTGGATTTATTATTTTATTGTTCTTTTTTCATATTTTGTTGGCATGTTTATCCTACTCTATGTTGTAATCTCACAAATTAGTGATTTTATGAATACTTAAGCTAACACATTCAAAACATCCGATCATGTAAATTGATGAGTGATATTAGTTCATCTCCAAAAAGTTTATCTTGGAAAAAACAAAATTTGTAAATGTTGAGGCTTATTCTTAATCTTTAGTTAGCCAAAACACAACATGTATTCAGTCAAATAGTTCAACAAAGGTTGTACTAATAAGTGATTTTATGTAAACTTCTAACGAAATTTCTTTGAATGTACATTCAATAAAAAAAACATTAAATGTTGCCGGTATACATCCAAACAAAAATCTCATAGCACTAATACTTTTTCCTGCCTTCTTGTACACACCAGCATCGGTACATTAATTCTCATTCTATACTCGACGTCAAGATCTATGTCATTTACAACTCGTTCGTCTCCCATCTCTCTCATCGTATTTGTTCTATCATCTAATTCCAAATTCTTGTTACTCCATTTATGTTTGGTGCCTTCGAGTTCAATATATAAAAATTTGTTTCTACACTAATAGACATTCTACAACACTAATTCTAGTAACTCGTCGTTGAAGCTTTTAAAAAAACTTTTCTACTATGAACATGATACACATTAGGCTTGGTACTAATGCATCAATTGAGATTTACGAAAACAAATTAGACAAATTAGTGATAAAATTTACCTGAAAGTTATAAACGATGGCTAGTGAAGTAAAAAAAAATATATATATATATACCTTCGTAAAGAAAACTCGCAAAATTGCTTAATAAGATGGAGTCCGATAAGAGATATGAATGATAAGAGATTTTGACGAATTAACATAGAGAAGAAGGAACCTAAAAATGAGATTCGGAAAAATAGCTAGAAAATGAGAAGGCTACTTAGTTTTAATATGAAAACTTGGATATCAAATTTTATTTCTTTTTGCTTTTGACCTTTTGTTCATGGTTCCTTATGTCTAATATAGCAATGAAATACCAAAAAGTTAAAAACTTCCTTCGTGATTGAGTCAACAATTGTTTTGATATATGGAGATATATTTATTGTTTCAATTTTCAAGGAATTTGTAGGAGTCTCGAGAGAGATAATAATCTTTTTAATGTAATTTTTTGTTTTTTTAATTAAGATAATAAGTTTTTAAAGATGATGTGTCAAAATATGAGGTGTTTATGTGTTAACTTTTTGCGAAAGACACTCAATTTTTATATATAAGTTCTTCATATGAGATTTAACATTTATCCGAGTCCAAGATCTCCAGATATTTATTGGATTAGTACTTTTCAACACTCTTATGAGAGGATCTACATTTATGAATTATGATATGACAAAATATCAAAATTGTTGATAAATATCTTTGAGTTAATGGGGCATAGATTATTTACTCTAAATAGAATGAAGTTATTACAACAACAACACAAAACCAACGTAAACGAGTTTCACCTAAAAACCCAAAATTATATTCAGGCGGCTCTTGACATGTGGAGGAGCAAATGTTAGGGTCCAAAATTTTTTTCAAAAATATGAATAAAGTTATGAATATAGAGCCAAATTTTTCAAAACTTATGAATAAAGGGCCAATTTTTTTGAGATTTGCACATGATCCCTAAATTTATTAAGCGTTATTAAGCTGACTATATTATAGTGTTAAATCGTAAGGAAAAAAAAAACAAAATATTAGTGCTTTAAATCACTGTTCATTTCTCATAATATAAACGACATTTAATGTTTTAGGCGATGTTTAGACGCTAAACACTAATTGGATATCATTCATACTATACCCTAGTTTAGATAGTCTAAACAAGTTTTGGCATCTAATAGTGTCCAGCAAACGTTATTCGGCCTAGCAGACAATTAGACGGATTCTAGGAAGCCATTAAATTCGGTTCTAGGAAGCCATTAAATATAAATTAGTATTTCCTCTGTATCATTTTAATTGATTTTCTAGAGATTTTTTGTATCAAATTAGATGATTTTTTCAGTTTTCAATACAAAATTAAATGCGATTTTTTTATATGACTCTTTATATTCTACAGATTTTTTACTATTGATTAAATTGTATTTAATTGAATGATAAATAA